TATGATAATATTTATATTTGATCTTCTTTGTAAATCAGAGAGATCTGTAATTATTGTTGGAATACCTATGTGATACAGGACGTAATTATTTACATGGGTATCTGGAAATTTGATCACATGGCCACAGAGTAGCAGTCACCCGCTCCCTGAAGGTAAAGTTCAGATTGTTCAGGTACGATAGATAAGACCATCTGCCTCTACTTGGCTCATACCAAACTTTCTGAGGAGGAGGAGGATGTATTATAAACTGTGGTTTATGCAAAACGCCCTTTTTCAGGCAGATCCTACGCCTTTTAATTTCCATGTGTGAGCTTGAACATTCCCACGGTAATGGATCCTGGTTTGGAAAATCTGGCTGACGGTATTGTGCTTGAAAATGGCCAAAATCTGTAACGGAGCTGTAAATGAGGAGAGATTCAATAGCAGAAAAGTGAAGAAACAGATGGATTTGTGCATGAGGCATGTAGAACAGGAGTAGGGGCATTGGCTTCTACTATTTTATTAACCATGTACTGTCAATATAATCACGAGCTCATCAGCTTTCCAATTCTTGAGAAAAACTTCCCCGCTTACTGAAAGTGGGTAAGGAGAATAAGCCCATAAAAGACCTATGAAATGCTTAGAAAACTTTCAACTTAACTCATCTTGTCTCAAATTACAAAGATATAACCATAATGCTGCTCTTCAGGTAAACCTTTTTCATGTTGTCTTAACATCAAGGTGAGAACTTGACGTTGAATGAAGAATTTTATTTGACCTTTATCTGATTTCCATTCCAAACTGAGGGAAGTACACAGAAGGTATTCTAGAAGATCTTTCTGTCCTTTTGGCAATTTCAACAATAAACAAAATGTCCTTTTTCACGCACAAGGAAAATCACAGAATCATAGAATGGTTTAGGTTGGAAAGGACCTTAAAGATCGAGTTCCAACCCCCCTGCCATAGGCAGGGACACCTCCCACTAGACCAGGTTGCCCAGGGCCACATCCAGCCAGGCCTTGAACACCTCCGGGGTGGGGCTTCAACAACCTCTCTGGACAACCTCTTCCAGTGCCTTACCACCCTCAAGTGAAAAATTTCTTCCTAATGTTTAATCTAAACCTGCCC